CGATTATCACCTCTGATGCTTTGAAAGGATATGCCTAAGATGAACTCGAGAGCACCCGTATAAGGGTGGAGGAACTAAGGCGTCAAATGCACTAACAAACGGTAGGCAGGAATTCGAGAACTATGCGCAGTACATTGTGGAAAACACGGGGGAATGAAGATGGCTTCCCTCCTTCGAAGTGTACACGAAGACAGACCATAATCGAAGCTCCTCGAGGACCGAAGTCGGTAGTGCACAGTTATTCCTCTAGATATCTCGATAAAACGTCAATCGAAGCGTTATTGCTTGGTCCTAAGTTCTGCTGTCCCCGCTAGAAACCCAACCAGCTAGAACTAAAGACACAGATCGAGAACCTCATTAATCAGCCACATGACTTTCCACCGGTTTCGGCAGAGAGCCTGCAACACCTTAAGTCCACGTTAGTCAACTGTTCTCATGAGTACGAGAACAGTAGCCACAAATGCCAAGGCCTACTGATGAAGTCGCATATTGGGAAATTAAAGCAACTCCGACAGAACAAAGATATTCTAATAGCGAGACGGGATAGGGGGGTGGTTTTGTTTTGGTGGATAGGGCCGACTACATTACAAAAATGTATCCAATCCCGTAGGGCCTGGAAAAGTTCCGAAAGGCAAAACAAGGAGAAAGAACGAACAGGTGCGGCTGAAGAAGACTTCAACTGGGTGGCTTCATAAGCGAGCACGACCTAGAGCGTCTCAGACCCATCCGCACGCATATACATCGGGCATATGGCTTGCTGAAGATCCACAAAGATGGCGCACCAGTTTGTCCTACCCTAGACACGAGAAACTCACTGTACCGTGCGACAACAAAATAACCAGCGGAGAAAATTAAGCCCATACAGTACCAGCTAGCACCACATAGCTATCGGGATACCTTTGGATTCGTTAACGGCCTGAAAGGTCTCGACCACAACGGAATGGTTATGTCTTCGTTAGACGTACTGTGACCGGTATGTTCGTAAACAGAGAGGAGACAGGATATAGGAACGTTCAATGAGGCTCTCAAGGAGTTGTTATAGAGATGTACCTTGAACGTACAGTTTCTATTTGACAGCAATCTATAGAGACAAATGGACGAAGTAGCTATGGGCTCGCACTTTGGTCTACTTTTAGCGAATAGATTCATGGGCGTACCAAAGCTTTCGAGCTTTGTCGGCAGATCAATGGTCGGAGATACTAAAGGGTCCTATGTGGATGATATATTCTCGACTGTACCTGAACAAAACGACGCTTAAGTTCTTCTAGAGGATATTAATCAACCAAATTTAGACTAAAAGAAGAACAGTCTGGATCGACCCCCCTTTCTGGATGTGCTTTTGAGTAGAAGGCCTGACAGCAGTATACAACGTAACGTCTATCGTAAGAAGGCGTAGTTCGGGCAATACACCAATTTTGGGAGATTCGTAGATAAAGCGCAACTTGGTCTGCTGTTTGACGCAAAGAGCAAGGAGGGTCTGCTCGGCTGATAGCATTGAGAGAACTTCAGATTGTCAAAAATCTCCTTCGCCAAAACGGCTGCGTCGGTCGCATCACTGCTAAGGCCATGGCTGAACGACCACCAAAGCATCCGGCGCTGACGACAGAACAGCAGAAGCATTTCACCGCTTCAAGAGAACGCGCCAAGTGAACTTCTAAGAAGGCACCTAACTCAAGCTGTACCACGCACGGTTACAACAACTGACCCGCACGCACCCTTCTCCAATGGTCCCATCTTATAAGGAGAAAGCAAGGACAAACTGCCAGCCCGGACCACCTCCACGTTTGTTTACTGCTTCACCTGCTTCTGTGGGGCAAAATACAGTGATCTCACGAGCCGGTGTAAGGAATAAGAGGACACCTTCCCGCATGGTTAGTGAAGGACCGAATAATCAACGCTTACAACTCTGATAGAAGCAAACAGGAAATTTTCGAGAAGCACTTCCGAAGAAGCAGATGCGACCACCGGAACATGAAATTTATTGGCCTGACGTTTCGCATTCTCCCTCGAACTCATCATCAGAGACGATTGCAGATAAGGGTAGTAGAGGAATAAAACCCGCAGTATTTATAGTACGTAGCTGCCGTGGGGCCACATGTGTACTATAAATAACAGCTCTTATGATTACCGTTGGGGGTCGTAAGAAAGGCTATGGTGGTTCGTCAGTCTGCGCACGAGTCGTTAATTGCCGCAATTCCATTATTCGTGTTAGACGTTAACGTGATGATTACTCAGCAGTTTGGCCCGCTGCAACTTCCTGCGCACGAGTCACCCTTTTCTGCTACTGTCTCTGATGATGGATTCAAGTGAGAATTCGAAACGTCAGGCGACTAAAGACCTTGTTCCAGCGATCGCTACTTCTTCTGATCAACTAGTTCCTGGAACACGCACCTTCGTTTGTATCGGTAATGTGTTAGGGCGCGACGCGCTCCGATCGGCCCGACGATGGGAAACTTGTGCCCTTCGAGAGGCCTCTACTTATGCGCAGATCCGGTTTCTGCACAGATGTCTCGATAACAACGTGTTGCCGAAGTGCGTTTCATACAAACCCCCGGTAAACACGGAGCTAGCGAGACGCGCAGTATTTCAGCACGGAAGACGTATGATCCGCGTGCTCCTTCAAGATTGCCGTGCGAGGCTTCGCAAATACCGTCAGAGAATTGACCAAGAGAAGGCCAGATGCTGCGAGTTCATGGGCGAGAACGGCACAAATCTGCTTCAGCAGAAGGTAACTGAACGAGCCCGTGAGCAGAGAGCGGCACGCGATGCAGCACTGGGGAACAAGTTCCACAAACTGCCTGATCCAACGTCATCCAGAGGCAGCACACTGGTACACAAACTGTCCTAAAAAGGAACTGACGAAGGAGCAAGTACGGGTTTTACGGCACGAAGCCCCATTCAACACAGCTGACGCCAAACCTGTCAACATGATTGCAGTATTGGAATCGGTCATTAATCAGACGGAAGCGGCGGAGAAGACGAAGAACCTTATCCGGCACCAAGTGTCGTCCCTCCTTATGACTCACAAGCCGCGCGAAATACTCCCGAAGGTCGAATGCGATGCAGTAAGAGAACTCAAGGCCGACAAAGACATCGTCATCGTGCCCGCGGACAAGAAAATCAACTAGAGGATCGCCAGTTTTATGTCCTATGTGAAACCAACCCCGTAAAGACGCTGACACGTGAAATTAATGCGACATTGTTGGCACTGGAGGACTCGGGTGCAATAACACCGACCGACCGACGCATGGCGAGAGCCCAAGAAACGGACTTGGCCCGATTCTATGGTCTCCCCAAGGTGCACAAGGAAGGCGTTCCTCTCCGATCCATTGTATCGCTCAAAGGCACTCCAACATACGGACTGGCAAAATGGCTGTTTCGGCGCCTCAAATTTCTGACCGCTGATTCGGACATGTGGACAATACCTTCGTCGTCATCGAACGGGATCAGGTGCTAACGTTCAAAGAACGTCCAACAGCGTCTTCCCAGACATAAAATTTACAATGGAATAGGAAGAAAATAACCAGCTGGCCTTCCTGGATGTCCTCGTGCGTCGCAAAGATTATGGTGGACTAAAGACCAAAGTGTTCAGAAAAGCAACGAACACGACGCAAATTCTGAACTTCAACAGTAACCACCCAATCAGCCACAAACGCAGTTGTGTAAGAACGCTATATCGGCGCGTTGAGAAGCACTGCAGTGAACCGGAAGACAAGGTTGCCGAATTCCAATAACTTGGACGAGTTTTCAGAGGAAATGGCTACCCGCGCAACTTCGTCAACCGGTGTATGCGCAAACGAGAGGAGCGACAAAACCGTGCCGACTTCAAATTCTGGCGAGCGATCGCGTACATCAAGAACGTCTCCGAGGCCGTTAGCCGCCTTCTTGCACCTCTTAGGGTTGGAGTTGCACACAGACCGGAGGCCACCATGAGGCGTTAGGTGATGAGACCAAAGGACCCACTGCCACGGCAATAAACATCTGGAGTCGTTTACCGGATCTGGTGCAGTTGCTGACAAAGCAACTACGTCTAAGAAACTGGAAGACTGCTCCGAACGCAAATTGCCGAACACGCGGCAGCGGTACGGAGGAATGACGCCAACTCTCAGGTCGCGGCCCATTCAACGAGACTCCGCCACAAACTCAAGTTCAATGAGGCCGAAATTCTCGCGAGAGAGGATAATCGCGTGAGCCGCGAGTTGCTTTGTCATGGTTCAAGGGACCTCAGTCTATCAACAAGTGCAACGATATCCCCACTCCATTTTCCATGCTGAGGCATAGGCTGACCAAAGTAATTGGCCACTCGGGGAGTGCACAAGCCGGTAAGCCAGATGGCCGGGCAACCATCACTCCAGCATCCAACACGGGTGATGACATTTAGGTAATTAACAACTTGCATGCCGGCCATCAAGCAATTAGTGCACCAACAGGCAACGATCCTTCATGAAGGGGAGCGCGGTTAATTGCTATAGGTATGCGGTAGCGTAGCGACTGCATCCTATAAATACTGCAACTTGAAGAAGGAGACACGATCGCCGGGACAAGAGCTTTATAAGCCTGACGTTTCGGATTCCTACTCGAATCCGTCATCAAAGATGATGATGATGGATTCGAGTAGGAATTCGAAACGTCAGGCTTATAAAGCTCTTGTCCCGGCGATCGTGTCTCTTTCTTCAAGACTACTTCCTGGGACTCGGTTCTTCGCTTCTATTGGCATTGTATTTGGGCGCGATGCGCTCCGATCGGCCCGGCGATGGGAAACCTTCGCCCTTCGGGAGGCCTCTACGTATTCGCAGATCCGGTTTCTGCACAGGTGTCTCGACAATAATGTATTACCGAAATGTGTTTCATACAAGCCACCGGTTAACACGGATTTGGCGAGACGAGCAGTATTTCAGCACGGCAGAAGGATGATCCGAGTGCTTCTCCAAGATTGCCACGCGAGACTTCGTAAGTACCGTCAAAGGATTGACCAAGAAAAGACCAGATGCTGTGAGTTCATGGGTGAAATCGGTACGAATCTGCTCCGGCGGAGGATAGCTGAACAAGCCCGCGAACAGAGCACGATACGCGACGCAGCACTGGAGAACAAATTTCGAAAGCTGCCCAATCCAACGTCGCCCAGAAACGACAAACGGGTGCACAACCTGTCATCAAAGGAGCTGACGAAGGATCAGATGCAGGTTTTACGGCACGAAGCTTCATTTAACACGGCTGACGCCAGACCTGTTAACATGATTGCAGCAGTGGAATCAATCCTTGGTCAGACAGAGGCAACGGAGGAGACTAAGAACCTCATCCGACACCAAGTGTCGTCTCTCCTGATGGCCCACAGGCCGCGGGAAGTGCTGTCCAAGGTCGAACGTGATGCGCTTAGAGAACTCAAGGCCGACAAAGACCTGGTCATCGTGCCAGCGGACAAAGGACGCGCCACAGTTGTACTGGACAGGACAGACTACCTTCAAAAAACCAAAGGTTTACTGGAGGACCGACAGTTCTATGTCCCATGTGCAACGAACCCTTTAAAGGCGCTGACGCGCGAAATTAATGCTACGTTGTTGGCCTTGGAGAACTCAGGTGCAATAACACCGACCGACAGACGCATGGCGAGACAGCAAGATACGGCTTTGGCCCGATTCTATGGCCTCCCTAAGGTGCACAAAGACGGCGCTCCTCTCCGAACCATCGTGTCGCTCAAAGGGACTCCAACGTACGGACTGGCTAAGTGGCTGTTCCGGCGTCTCAAGTTCCTGACCGCTGGGTCAGACACCACGGTCTCTTCGTCAGCACAATTCCTGGAGAAACTCAAAGGGGTAAGCATCCATCCAAATGAGGTCATGGTATCTTTTGATGTTACATCCCTTCTTACTTCTATTCCCCAGGACCTGGGGATCGAGACAATTGAACTGCTACTACAAAGCAAATACGATGAAACGGAGAACCGTCTTGGACACGCCCAGATCCTTCAGCTCCTGAAGCTGTCTCAGGACGTACTTCACGTTCGACGGGACAATCTACGAACAAGTGAAGGGCACACCAATGGGTTCGCCGATTTCGGGATTCATCGCCGAGGCGGTCCTGCAACGGTTAGAGTCGCTGGTCTTCCAACACCACAGACCGAAATTCTGGGCCCGGTATGTGGGTGATACCTTCGTCGTCATCGAACGGGATCAGGTGTTGACGTTCCAAGAGCATCTCAACGCCGTCTTCCCGGACATTCAATTCACGATGGAGGAGGAAGAGAACAACCAGCTGGTCTTCCTGGATGTCCTCGTATGCCGCAAGGATTGTGGTGGACTAAAGACCAAAGTGTTCAGGAAAGCGACAAATACGATGCAAGTACTGAACTTCAACAGTAACCACCCAATCAGCCACAAATACAGTTGTGTAAGGACGCTCTATCGGCGTGTCGAAACGCACTGCAGTGAACCGGAAGACAAGGTTGCCGAATCCCAGTGTCTTCGATGGGTTTTCAGAGGAAATGGTTGCCCGCGCAATTTCGCCAACCGGTGCATGCGCAAAAAAACGACCGACAAAATCGTACTGACTCCAAATTCTGGAGAGCGGTCAAGTACATTAAGAACGTCTCCGGGAGCTACTGGAATCATGGTTTACTGGCCCCCAGTCCATCAACAAGTGCAACGATCTTCCCATTCAATACAGCGTGCTGAGACTTCGTCTAGGCGGAGTAATTGGCCACGCGGGGAGCGCACTGGTGAACACTCGTCCCAACACCCGGGTCAACGCGTCAGGTGGTCGAGCAATCATCACGCCAACATCCAACGCACGTGATGAAATTGCAGCAATTATCGACTCGAATGTCGGCCATCAAGCAATGATCACACCAAGTGTGACAATCCCGGATGAAGGGGGAAGCTGTGAACGTTCATAGGTATGCGGTAGCATGGCTTCCGCATCCTATAAATACCGCAGCCCCTTGTGCAACAACCACCCGTATCTGCTCTTTGTCTCTGATGATGGATTCGAGTAGGAATCCGAAACGTCAGACTTATAAAGCTCTTGTCCCGGCGATCGTGTCTCCTTCTTCAAGACTACTTCCTGAGACTCGGCTCTTCGCTTCTATTGGCAAATACTGCAACTTCCTGTGCACGAGTCACCCTTTTCTGCTGCTGTCTCTGATGATGGATTCAAGTGAGGATCCGAAACGTCAGGCGACTAAAGACCTTGTTCCAGCGATCGCTTGTTCTTCTGATTTCCTGCCGTTTCAGCGGCCTTATAACCTGGAGCCTGGTGGTTTGCTTCCCAACCCCAACTCCAAGTGCCGCGAGAAGACGGCTGATTGCCTTCGAGACGTTCCTCACGTGTAACCGTCTCTAATGATGTGTTGGAGTGAGAATCCGAAACGCCAGGTCAATAAACGTCTTGTTCCAGTGGTCGTATCTTGATTTTCTTCAGAATTGCTTCCTGGAACTCGCATTTTCGCTTCTTTGGACAATCGTTTTCGGCGTGATGCGCTCCGATCGGCTCGACGTTGGGAAAAATTTGCCCTTCGAGAGTCGTCTACTTATGCACAGATTCGATTTATTCACAAGTTTGAAGACAAGTTGTTTCATACAAACCCCCGGTTACCAGACAGCGGACGAAACGCGCAGTATTCCAGCACGGCAGACGAATGATCCGAGTGCTCCTTCAGGACTGTCACTGAAGGCTTCACAAAGACCGTCAGAGGATTGACCACGAGAAAGCAAGGTGCTGCGAGTTCATGGGCGAGGACGGCATACAACTGCTTTAGCAGAGGGTGGATGAACGAATCCGCAAACAGAGAGCGACACGCGAAGCAACACTAGAGAAAAATTCCACAAGTTGTCCACTGCAACTTTATCTACGAAGGACAAACTGGTGCACAACCTGTCGTCAAAGGAGCTGACTAAGGAACAAAAGCTGGTGTTTAGGCATGAGGTTTTATTTAACACGGCCGATGCCAAACCTGCCAACATGATTGCAGCAGTAGAGTCAATCCTCAATCAGACGGAAGTGACATATGGAATGAAGAACCCTATTCGACAGGAAGTGTCATCTATCCTCACGGCGCATAGGCCGCGCAACCTGTTTTCCGTGGTTGAACGTGGCTCATTAAAGTAACTCAAGGCGGACAGCGACCTCGTTATCATGCCTACGGACAAGGGGCCTTCCACGGTCGTATTGGATAGGACAGACTATATTCAGAGAGCCAAATGCTGGTTGGAGGATCGTTAGTCCTATGTCCAATGCGAATCCAACTCCATCAGAAAGCTGACACGCGAGATCAACGCGACGCTGTTGGCAATAGCACATATCGACGGACGCGTGGCGAGAGCGCAAGAAACGGACCTGACCCGATTCTACGGTCTCCCAAAAGTTCACAAAGAGGGCGCTCCTCTTCAGCCTATCTTATCACTAGAAGGCACTCCAACCTACGGACTGGCAAATGGGCTGTTCCGACGTCTCAAGTTTCTGACCTCCGATTCGAACACCACAATCAGCTCGTCAACGCAATTCTTGGAAAAACCTAAGGGAGTAAGTCTCCTGTCAAGCGATGTCATGGTTTCCCTTGATGCCACGTCCCTTTTTACTTCAATTCTGCAGGACCTGGCAAACGAGATCATCGGACTACTCCTACGAGAGAAATACTACGAAAAGGAGAATCACTTCGGATACGCACAAATCATCCAACTCCTGGAATTCTGTCTGAGAACCTATTTTACGTCCGAAGAACAGTCTACGAGCTGAGGCGATCATTTAACGGTTGGAGTCGCTAAATTTTCGACACCACAAACCGAAATTCTGGGCTCGGATAGTAGATGATACCTTCGTCGACATCGAACGGGATCTGGTGCTGACATTCAAAGAACATTTCAACGCCGTCTTGAGATGCCGGAACAGCCACTTAGCCAGTCCGTACGTTGAAGTAACTTTGAACGTTAGGAGATGTCTTCCGGTTTCTCCGACGTAGTTGCTTTGTCCGCTCAAAGGTACTCCAACGTACGGACTGGCTAAGTGGCTGTTCCGACGTCTCAAGATCCTGACCGCTGAGTCAGACACCACGGTGTCCTTGTCAGCACAATTCCTAGAGAAAGTCAAAGAGGGACACCTCCATCCAAATGAGATCACGACATTTTTGATGCTACATCCAGTTTCGTTTCTATTACCCAGAACCTGGCGATCGAGTTAATTGAACTGCTACTACAAAGCAAATACGATGAAACGAAAAATCGTCTTGGACGCGCCTAAGTCCTTCAGTCTTTGAAGTCCTGTTTCAGGACGTACTTCACGTTCGACGGGACAATCTACTTACAGGTGAAGGGCGCACCGATGGTTTCGCCGATTTCGGGGTACATCGCTGAGGCGGTCCTGCAACGGTTAGAGTCGCTGGTCTTCCAACACCACAGACCGAAATTCTGGGCCCGGTATGTGGATGATACCTTCGTCGTCATCGAACGGAATCAGGTGTTGACGTTCCAAGAACATCTCAACGCCGTCTTCCCGGACATTCAATTTACGATGGAGGAGGAAGAGAACAACCAGCTGGCCTTCCTGGATGTCCTCGTATACCGCAAAGCTAGTGGTGAACTAAAAACCAAAGTGTTCAGAAAAGCGACAAATACGATGCAAGTACTGAACTTCAACAGTAACCACCCAACCAGCCACAAATACAGTTGTGTAAGGACGCTCTATCGGCGTGTCGAAACGCACTGCAGTGAACCGGAAGACAAGGTTGCCGAATCCCAGTGTCTTCGATGGGTTTTCAGAGGAAATGGTTGCCCGCGCAATTTCGCCAACCGGTGCATGCGCAAAAAAAACGACCGACAAAATCGTACTGACTCCAAATTCTGGAGAGCTGTCCCGTACATTAAGAACGTATCCGAGGCCGTTAGCCGCCTTCTTGCACCTCTTAGGGTTGGAGTTGCACACGGACCGAAGGATACCATAAGGCGTCAGGGAATGAAATCGAAAGACCCACTGTCACGGCATGAAACATCTGGAGTCGTTTACCGGATCTGGTGCAGTTGCAGACAAAGCCACTACGTCGGAGAAACTGGAAGACTGCTTCGGACGCTAATTGCCGAACACGGGGCAGTGGCGCGGAGAAATAGCGCCAACTCTCAGGTCGCAGTCCATTCAACGAGACTCCGCCACACATTCAACTTTGATGAGGCCAAAATTCTCGCTAGAGAGGATAATCGCGTGAGCCGCGAGTTGCTTGAGTCATGGTTCAAGGGACCTCAATCTATCAACAAGTGCAACGATATCCCCACTCCATTTTCCGTGCTGAGGCATAGGCTGACCAAAGTAATTGGCCACTCGGGGGGTGCGCAAGCCGGTGAGCCAGATGTCCGAGCAATCATCACGTCAGCATCAAACACGGGTGAAGATATTTCAGCAATTAATTAGGTATGCGGTAACATTGTGACTGCATCCTATAAATACTGCAACTTCCTGGGCACGAATCACCCGTTTCTGTCTCTGTCTCTAAGGATGGGTTCGAGTGAGAATCCGAAACGTCAACTGAACAAAGTCCTTGTTCCAGCGATCGCTTCTGCGTCTCATCAACTAGTTCCCGGAACTCGCATTGTCGATTGTATCCAAAATCACTTGGGCAGCGTCTGTTATTAACGAGGCGACTGCAATCAGGTTACGCAAACCAGTCGCAATCGCGCCGAGGAACTTAGTTCAGGCACCACAATTACCATGACCCAGAGCCACTAAGCCAGCCGCCCGCATATAATTACCCGCCCCAGTAGACACCATTCCTCCCCCTCCCGACATTGAAGGTTATTTTGTTTTTTACTTCCTCCCCTCGTACCCCAGCTACGGAATAACTTCTTCTTGCCCGCATTTTCTTATTAATCATTTCGATAGCAATAAAAGCGTACAGACCTGGAGAGGATTTATCGAAAGCTAACGTGTGCACGCTAAAAGATCTATCGGATTCGTCAAAGGGGTTTTTCGCAACTTCAAAGCAACTAGGTCGGAGAAACTGAATGACTGCTCCGGACGCGAATCGCCCAATATGCGGCAGCAGTACGAAGAAATGACCCCAACTGTTAGGTCGCGGATCATTACACGAGACTCGGCCATCCATTGAAACTCGAGGAGACCAAAATTCTCGCAAAAGAGGGGCAGTTACGTAAGCAACCAGTTGCGTAAGTCATGGGTCACGGGACCCCAGTCTATTAGCAAGTACACTGGACTCCCCACCGCATAGTCGGTGCTGAAGCATAGTTTGGCCAAAGTAAATGGACAGTTGGGGAGTGCGCAGGCCGGTGGGACAAGTGGCCGAGCCATCATCACGCCAACTGTAATATCCCAAACAGAGTATAGGGTTCCTACCTTGTTTTAATAAACAGGTGGTTATTCGTCTTGGAGAAAACTCTGGATCTGATTCAGATCGCTGACCAGGACACCTGATAAGTCTCATCTATTTTTATTTTATGTTTGTTTTCTCGCTCATCGTTGTTACATTTCGTTTTCCACGTCCGTGTTTTCCGGAGTTAACCTTGTAAACTTATGAATGTACAGACTCTCCCACCAATACTTCTTTATGTTATTTCCCAAGAACAACTCATTATTCGCTTGCTACTGACGTTTATACGCGTTTATATTCTCTGTTACAATAAAATTCGCCATCGGAGTATGCCTACCCTATTCACACTTAATGTTCAATTCTGATGCGACTGAGACTGTATGCGAAGAATGTTGAGTGTTCTTTGTTCAGAACTTCAAGTTAACTTTCAGGGTGTGAAAAAGAGGAAACTGCCTACAGCAGATAACAATTCTCTGCCCCCTACTATTTTTTCGAAACGGTCGCTACACGACATCCAGCATGGGTGTTGAAACTTCAGCAAGTAACGACTTGCATGCAAGCTATCAAACCATTAGCGCACCAGACGGCTACCATCCTGGATGAAGTGGGTGGGGAGGATTCGTTAATTGTCACAGGTAAGCAGTAGCATAGCAAATGCATCCGATAAATACCACAACCTCCTGTGTATGAATTACCCGTATCCGATACTGTCTCTGGCATTGGGTCCCAGCGTAAATCCGAAACGTTGGGGGGGGGGGAGGTAAGTTCTTGTTCCAGCGACAGCATCTACTTCTTCTCAATGCTGATGTTGTCGGCCCTGCCGTTACGATAGAGGCCAAAATCCTTGTCAGATCGTCGGAGAACTTTGTGCGGCCCGTTTTAGGACGCTGGGGTGGTTGACGAACAACGTCGTACCGGGCCAGGACAAAACGGGACGTTTCTAGGCTGGGGAGAGATGAAGAAACTGACCAGTGGTGCCCGAGGGGCGTTGCACGGAAATTATGCATAAAGTTGCTTCATCGG